GTAGACTTGAATTGCAGCAGGGAGAGTTTTTCTCTGGCAGATTGATATTGTAGGATGCAACATCTAATCTTTTTTTCTGCAGCCATGCAATTAAGAGAGGGGAAAAACTGCATCTTTCTAGGAGGGAAGTATAACATTTAATATATCATAATTTGGGCAATGGTTTCCTGATATTATTGCTTTATAGAGAAAAGATGTGGACTATGGGGGCTTTGACAGCTTTGCTAAATTTTCATCTGAGATTATTGTCATTGGAAGAATAGATGGACAATATTGGAAAAATTGTTAGGTTTCAACTGAATATGGAATTTATTATCTTTCCTATCCTTTGAACGTGTTCCTTTAAATGCAGGGCCTTTGTCTCAAAGTTAGTTTTTGAGCTGAACTTAAATATTTAACTGAATTATAAAATAAAAATAAAATAAAAATGGTTTCAGCTGCATCCAGGTATGCTATTTAAGAATTATTGTAAATATATTTGCTTGCTTCAAAGATAATTGAATCAGGGAAATCTGTATCAGACTGGTAAAGAAAGATGCACAAAATATTCTGTGTATGGATTATTCCATGCATGAACAGGCAATTCTGGGTGGTCCATCCATAGATTTAGACACATGTTCCATCCATACATGGACCCAGACTCTCTGTACTTTGACCACACAGGTATTTTCCAATTTGGGGAGAGAAGAAAAAAGGGAGGAGTGATGACTTAAAAGCAAGTGAAAGGTAGGTGTGGGAAGGTTACAGAATAGTCAAGTAATCTAGTTGGAGATGGTGGGGGTGATGGATGGTCATTTAAGAGGACGCAAGGGAAAGGCTGATGAAGGAAGATTAGGGCAGGTGCATATGGTTACTTGGATATGCTGCAGTTAAATTCAAGGGAAGTCTAAATCACAGTGACACATAACTATTTTAGGTAGGTAATGGAAAGAAACAAACAGGAAGATTGGGGGACATGGACCAACTTTGCCTACTAACCCCATGAATCTCTTTTGAACTTGACTTTACTGAAATCTAAAACAATCAAGATGTACACTAATGTTTGGCTGAATTAAAGCCCTTTGAAGCAGTCTAACTGAACTTCTGTGAGTCCTATGTATGGAATAGTATGCATTTTTGCACTGTGCATAGTTTGCTGCAGATTGAATAATACAATAGTACTATATGGAACACTTTTGAGATTGCCATCCTCCTGTACATTTTATCATATTTGAAAATGCTCAGGGGCCAAGATCCACAAAACTACCCAGCCTGCAAAATGGATTGGGCAAGCCTACTAGATTTTTTTTTGCTCCCTTGTTACCACTTGACTCTTGTGCATTGTGCAAGCTACTCTAGCGGCCTACTTTGGCTCAAAAGTAGCTTACATTCAACATAAGATGCTACTCTGAAAAATGTTTGCTCAAGCACTATTAGAAATTCTGAAACAAGGGGGACTAGATGACAAAGACATCCAAATCATAAAGAATCTGTATTGCCATCAGGTAGCAAATGTGAGATTAGGCCAAAAATACTCATCTGATGCAGAAATAAGAAGAGGGGTCAGACAGGGATGTATTCTGTCTCCACTGTTGTTCAATATCTACTCTGAGTCAATCTTCAAAGAGGCACTGGAGAACATCGATGCTGGCATCAAAGTAAACGGTGTTTGGATCAACAACTTAAGATATGCTGATGATACAGTTCTGCTTTGCAGTAAGCATGAAGACCTTCAGCTCCTCATCAACAGAGTCACAGAAATATCTGAAAAATATGGCTTGAAGCTTAATACCTCAAAAATCAAGATCATGGTCGTTAGCAAACAACCCGTTAATTTACCACCAATAAATTCAGAAGGAATACCATTAGAAAAAGTTGAAAGGATCACGCACCTCGGTTCTAATTTACATGAAAGCTGGGACATGACCACTGAAGTAAAGACAAGGATAGAGAAAGCTCGAACAGCATTCTTCAAAATGAAAAAGGTCTTCTGCAGTCACGACATAAACCTAAGACTGAAAACCAGGCTTGTCAGATGCTATATTTTTTCTATCCTGCTCTATGGAGTAGAGAGTTGGTCTCTGACAGAAGGCCACCTGAAGAGACTAGAAACATTTGAAATGTGGATTTACAGGTGGCTGTTACGTATAAGCTGGGTTGACAAGATCAGAAATGAGGAGGTGATAAGCTGCTTGGGAAAGCCAAGTGAAATCATCAAAACAATTAAAAAACAAAAATTAGAATATTTCGGACATGTGATACGACACCCAGAAAAATACGGCATATTCCATTTAATCCTCCAGGGAAAGATTGAAGGCAAACGAGGTCAAGGCAGAAGAAGAACATCATGGCTTCAAAATCTAAGGGACTGGTTTGGACAAAACTCAGCAGCACTTTTTCGTGCGGCTGCTGATAAAAACAGGATCGTCAACATGATCACCAATGTCCGATAACGGATATGGCACAAGAAGAAGAAGCACTTTTGAGAATAGTTTGTTTAGATGCTGTGTTTAAGTCCTTCCCAAAGTGGTGCTTTCTAGATGTGTTTAGAATTCCCACCATTTTCAACCAGGATTGATTGTGTTTCGATTACTATTACTACTTATCGATTGTATTAATTAATATATTTTTGTGAACTATTTGTGATAGTGATTTCCACACACATTCTTACATAGAAAGTTTCCCCAGATGTTATAATAGGGTTCCGTTTTTAATCACTGAATATCATGTTAGCTGTAATGCCTCCATGACACATACATTATTTGGAAATATAATGATATTAACAGAGGTTAACTGAACTATTCCTGTGGAAAATGCAATTTGAAGTTCCAGGCATGTGTGAAAAATCTCTTAACATAACATTGCTATTATAACCACATTGTAAAGATGGCTTATAATCCTGAATGGTTTTTTTGTAGCCTTACAGTTCAGTCTAACAATTCTGTAAATATATAATTAAAAATCCGCAATATTAACCTGTTTAATATTTAAATATTAATATTTAGTTGTTTGTTGAATTGCCTGCCTGTGAATGATAAGCATGATTTGATAAGGGAAAACTGATAATATTCCAGGAGATTGCATCATATTCTTAAAATGGTTGTAAGCTGTTGGGGACATTAAGCGGGTAACCTGACTATATTTTATGACCATTTTTATGAAGCAAAATCACATGGTTGGTATGTGAATCATATGGTCATTAACAAAGCACATGATCATTAAGCGAATCCATTCTCCCAGATGGGTGTTTTTTGTTAACATCAAAAATTGCTGTCATGTGACTGGGATGCCGCAATGATTGTAAATGCAAGCTTGTTGCCATGCACCTGAAATAAGATCACATGACTGCATGGGGTATGTGAGGGTTGTAGCTTAGCGGAAGGATCATAAATAACTATTTTTGAATCTTTTGTGATTTTGGTCATCAAATGTTAAGTGAGACTACCTGAAAATTTTGCAATAGATCTGATATACATGGAATTTTGTGAATATGAATGAAATATATAAACATTTTTTCAGTGTCTCTTGAAGTAATCTGCTACGTAGAGGCCTGACTAAAAACTTGTTATTTTGTAGTTCATGCTTCAGAGCTTATATAGATAGGCAGAGTTATTTTTTAAAAAAGCAAGAACAAATTGGTTTTACTCTCACATGACAGGAAGCAACTTGGTTTTTGCTTGAAAGAGTACATGCAATTTAAAGACTGTTCAAACATTTGGGGAGTGTGTATTTTGGTACAGAAGGAGAAATGGGATTTAATTGTTTTAGCTAGTTAGTATTCTTTATGAAAGCATAATACTACTTTGCAATAAAAACAGACCAGAGGCAAAATAACAACAGCCTAAGTATAAAACTGTGAGTGAAATACAAGCTAGTATCACATTTCAGAATGCTTAAATAAATTATTAGTTGATGATGAACCAATAATTGAGGCATGTCAGTAGTTAAATTATAACTAGGAGAATATTTCAAACAAGGTAGACGTTCTTTCTTCCCAGTATCTGGGGTTTTGAAGAGGTGTGCCAGATATTGATTTTGGAGCATTCAGTGTATTTTCTCTTAAGTATTTGGTGTGTAACTTGCTTTCTCAGTCAGATCCAGTCTCCAACACTATGAATTTTAATTTGATAATAAAGGGAAATTATTACTTGTACTATTAAATACAAGACAAATAATACAGGTAGTCCTCAACTTGCAAGCACAACTGGGATTTCTGTTGCTAAGCAATGTAATCGTTAAGCAAGTTGTGCCCTATTTTACAATCTTTTTTTTAACCATGGTCTTTAAGCAAATCCAACTTCCCCCATGTCCTTATTGAAAGCCCCTGACTAGGTTAAAAATGATGGTCACATGACTTCAGGACACTGCGATGGAGATAAATACACGCTGGTTGCCAAGTGCCCAAATTTTGATCATATGAACGTGGTAAAACAGTTAAATCTGTTTTATTGTTTTCCTGGTGGCATATGTTTCTTCATAACTAATCTTTTCCTTGGTCTGGGAGTGTGGCGTTCAGTGGCCTCCAGATGGGTTGCATTTAACTGCCTTGTCCAATGGGTGGGCATATCAGAAATATGAATATATGTATCCCCATCCAACCGTAATACACCATTATTTAGGGTTAGGGTTTGATTTTTCAAATCTGTTATAAACTTATTTTGGAAGCATAAAATATATACCATATCAATAATTCTACCTCTTTACTTGATGAGCATATCTTTCTCTCCAGTTCTGCTCATGTTAAGGGCTCTTCAAAAGTTTATTATCAGTTGTAAGATGGCATAATTTATGGATCTATTTAAATGTATTTTTAAAAGCAAAGAGCGTTTTCATTTTGTTTAATTAACAATTCTAAGAAGAAGGGCAGGAAATTATGTTGAAGCATTAATGTATTGCTCCTGGTACTGGAAGTCAATAGTTTAGGGGTTTTGATGGAATAAATTATAATTTAGTTTAAAGTCTGCCGCATTTCAGTATGTTTTGTTGACAATCACATATCTAGTTTTTGCTTTTCATTTCAGCTGTAATCGTGACATGGAGAATAAAGAAACCCTCAGGGGATTGCAGAAAATGGATGATCGCCCAGAGGAGCGAATGATCAGGGAAAAACTCAAGGCAACATGTATGCCCGCTTGGAAGCATGAATGGCTAGAAAGAAGAAGTAGGAGAGGCCCTGTGGTAAGTAACTCTGAAATCACTTAAAAAGGAGAATTACTGAAAGCACAGAATTTGCTTTCTTATCTTATATTACCATACAGTTGGTACTGTAAGGAATGGTAATGAAATTCCTCTTGCTTCATTTTTTTCATGTTGCTGTTTTTTCACTGGACAGATCTGCAATGCCTCACCAAAGTCAAACCCAACTTAAATTTCTGTTGCTTAAAATGACACAACACTGCCCTCTGTGGGTAGCATTTTACTTTCTGCTTCATTAGTTGAAATAAGTTGTGATTACAAAAACTAGAAGGAATTATATTTATATTTATTTATTTGTATCCCACATTTATTATTTTTACAATAAAACAATGTGAGTTTTAATATTGCCTGTATAACATGGCTGTGTAACTGATCACTGTATAGTGAAAGAGGCAAAGTTTTCCAAAATGTAAAACTCAAGACAATTTGGGACACAGTTTTGCTTACCAAATATTGAAGAAATCAGTGCTGTTTTCTTGGAATTTAATAAATTATAATAATAATTTATTAAACTTGAGTAGAAGAACCATCATAATAATGCGATGCTGCACGCTCTATGAGAAAAACTGGATTCATTGCGAATACCATCACTATTACTAGATTTTCATAATGTAAATGTTCTCATAATTTCAACTTAACTAATTAAAAATAAATGCTCATTAGCATTAAGAAAAACTGTTTGGTGGAAATCCCCTCCCTCCATTTATCTACAATTTAATGAGAATATTTGCTTTCATTTGGAAAAAGGAGACATTTTTTCCTATTTTTCCAAGGTGGTAAAACCAATACCAATAAAAGGAGATGGATGTGAAACAAACAAATCGGCAACAGAACCTCCTCCTGATGGACAAACAAATCCCACTTCACCTACTCAGAAAGGGAGACGGAGCCCTTCTCCCAGTGGACCCTTCTCATCCTCCTCCAGGACAGTTAAATCCGAGTCACCTGGTGTTAGAAGGAAAAGGGTGTCTCCTGTACCTGTAAGTAATTATGGGATAGCCCAAGCTTATGATACGAAATTCATATCTCCTTCCATATCAGTTGGCCCATCTTGAATTGGCAAGCCTTTGGCTTGATGGATATTAAATTGTGTTTTAGTTATGTTTTCTGTAGTGTAAACTCATTTTACCTTACTATATTTTGCCAGTTTTTGCTGTTTTAATTTCTGATTGATTAAACTGCATTGGATTATTGTACTCTAAATTGTATAGATTTGTATGAGGAATACATATTACTACTGGGTTTATTTCTGAGAGAAAAGCATAGAAGTAGTAATGTTTATAGTATTTAGTGGAAGAACTAAATTTCTACCATTTCTTATCTAATTATTTTGTACGTCTACTAGTTTGGAAGGATATAGCTGAATTTCTTAGAAAGATCGAGGAATGGGAAAATGAAAAGTACAGACAAAAATTACTGAAAATAAAATTAATTTTAAGTTTCAGAGTGGACGTATAACACCCCCACGAAGAGCACCGTCTCCAGATGGCTTCTCACCATACAGTCCTGAGGAAACAAATCGTCGTGTCAACAAAGTTATGAGAGCTAGACTGTATCTCTTGCAACAGATAGGACCTAATTCTTTCTTGATAGGGGGAGACAGCCCAGATAATAAATACAGAGTGTTCATTGGTCCTCAGGTATGAATTGAAACTGTGTTGAATATTTAATCAATAACTATTAAATAAACTCATTTCAGAAGATTTAATTAAGATTACCTCACTAGATTTAAGAGAACATGTGAAAATGCTGAAACATTTTCTTGCTTTCCAGAAGTTGCTTGACATATTTTATTTAATTCTTATTTGCATAAATCAGAACATAGGCATTGACAAAGTATCAGTGAAATATAAACAGCTATATGAATGCTATGTTGATTATATCAGCACAAGAGTGGTTTAGAAAGAATAAAGCCATCATTAATCAGTTATTTCTTATTTTGAAGAAAGCAGAAACATAATCCTGATAAATCTGTAAGAAGTGATTTGGGGGAAAGTTATAAAAACAATATAATATGCCCATAATAACCACAATAAATACATTTCTGTTCACAGACATGTAGCTGTGGGCGTGGAACATTTTGTATTCATCTCCTGTTTGTTATGCTTCGAGTGTTTCAACTTGAATCTTCAGATCCAATGCTGTGGCGAAAAACCTTGAAGAACTTTGAGGTAGTTCCATCGTATTTCTTTTGTCACAAATAGACAGTTATGGCTTCTGAAATTTACCATATAGAATTTCTACGGTTTCAAAATTACCAAAATATGATCATCTCATTTCTAAAATTAGTTAATAACAAGTGTTATTCCAATATCAAATAAATGGGTAGACTTCCCTGAATAAATTCTCCATTATTATTTCTCCATTTTAATAACTGGAATTTAACAGGGTTAGCTAAAAAAAACCCTTTACAATAAGCACTACTTTCTCCCTATATTATATAGACATTTATATTTGCTATTGGCTATTTTTTCCCTTAAATATATAGATGTTTAAATGTGGAAAAGTTATCTTAGTTATCCTTAGTCCTGGCTGATTATTGCTGTAATATATCCATTAACCAAGAGAAAGATCAGAATGATGTCATGTAGCTGTTAAACAATGGTAAAAAGTTGGCCTTATTATTCATGTATTATTCTATTAATATAGTTTATTTAACTTATATGGTATTTTGCTTGTTTGTAAGGGGGTAGCATCATTAGTTTATGTCAAATTGAAAATTATGAACATTGAACATATTTAATTCTCACATCTAAAATAGAATTTGGCAAAATTCAGCTTCTGTGTTTGCATTCCCATAAATGAAAAAGAGAGAACGTGTCTCTAATTACAAAAGATATCATTTACAGAATTCATCCATACCATAGTTGGTATTTATAGTATGCTGTTATTTTATATACATAAGTAAATTGATATAATTTTACATTATACTCTGCTGCAATTATATATTTATTTAAGAGACTTCAAGTTTGAGTAGTTCATATTCTAACACTGCCTATTAATATTTTCTTCCAATGTTAGGTTGAGAGTTTGTTCCAGAAATACCATAATAGGCGTAGTTCAAGGATCAAAGCGCCATCTCGTAACACCATTCAGAAGTTTGTCTCACGAATGTCAAACTCTCATACACTGTCATCTTCTAGTACATCTACATCTAGTTCAGAAAATAGGTTAGTACTTATTCTTAAGAAATCAGTACTGCCGTTCAAAATAGTCTCTATTTTTATAAATAGATAACCCTGACTCATTGGGTCATCTTTTGAGAGTGTAGGGTGAAATGACCAGAATGTACATTAAATTTTCCTGAACTGTATTGCCATCAAACGGGTGGGCAAAAAAGAAGTGGGAATGGGAGTGATCTCCTGCTGGCTTCCCCATTGACTTTGCTTTTTGGAAGCTAGCAGGGAGCATAGGAAATAAAAATCACATGACCATAGGGACACTGCAGTGCCCATAACTTTGCAAATAAAATTGGTCTGAACATCATGGAAATTTCAATTCCACAGGAGTCATGAGTCCCAGGTTTTTAATGGTGGCACAGTGGTTAGAATACAGTATTGCAGGCTAATTCTATCGACTGCCAGCAGTTTGATTCTGACTGGCTCAAGCTTGACTCAGCCTTCCATTCTTCCAAGGTTGGTAAAATGAGGACCCAGATTGTTGGGGGAAATATGCTGACTGCTTAGAGGGGACTGTAAAGCACTATGAAGCTGTATATATGTCTAAGTGCTATTGCTATTCTTTAAATTAGCAGATTTTCGATATCTTCACTAAAATTGTGAATGTGCTAACTTGAAGATACAAAAATAGAAACAAACACAATGAGAATTTTGTAGTGTATAGGTAGATACTTGCTTTATTTGTCATATTTAAAAAAAGGTAAAATATTCCTATTTGGACAGTCATTTTAAGTCAACGTTTTTTATTTTGTTTTATTTCCTAATAGATTGAGACCTAAGTATGAAGTTCGGGCTAATTTATTTTTGTTTGTTACTATGTTTTGGGCAATATTTCTGTTTGTTCTCTTTATTTCCTTGTATCTTGGTAGATGTCTTTCGACATTTCTAAGTAGAGGCCTGCTGTTGTAATCACAGGGATGTTTTCTTAAAGAGCTAGTATACACAAGAAGGTTTTTGTGTGCATGATTAGAGGCTCTTAAAATGTAATAGGGTCTTTAAGAATATCTCAGCTTTTAAAAATAAACTATTACAGGTGGTCCTTGATTTGAGACCATTTATTTAGCAACTGTTCAAAGTTATAAACGTGCTGAAAAAGTGACTTATGACCTGTCCTTGCACTTACGTTGACATTGGATCCCCAACTTGGGTGCTTGGCAACCAGCATGTATTTACGACGGTCACTTAACCAGATTTCTAAGTGACAGAAGTTGTGGTCCCAATTTTGGTCATAAGTTGAGGACTATTTCTAAACTATCCAAAGAATGGAAAAATAGCATTAGCTAACTATCAGAAATAGAATAGGTATAGCTAAATATGAAACTCAAATGAATTTTGCCTCCAATACTTTTAAATTTCTGTCAAAATATTTATTATTATTGTAATAGAAAAAAAGTTGGAAGGGATCTTGGAGGTCATCGAGTCCAACCCCCTGCTCAGGCTGTCCAGTTTCTTCTCAGCTGGGCTATATCATATTCTTCATGTTTTAGCTGTTTTAACCACATATTGTTTTTTGTAAATTGCCCAGAGTCCACTACAATGGATGGCAATAACAAAATAAATAAATAAAAATGACTCAAGATACTTTCATAAGGAAAGTTTACAAAATAAAGTTGAAGAATATTGATATGAGTATTATGTTTGAAAATAACTTTTGGCTTCTAGGCACATATTGTACCTCCTAAGGAAACAAAACTTGTCCATCTCTGAATCTCTACATAAAAATGAGAAGTGATTTACCAGAGCTCTGGAAAGGAATTGTATTTATTTACAGTATTTAAAATTATCATGCTCAAATATGAAAAATGAGCATTGATTTCTCAGTTTGTTGGTTTAACTGAAATATTTACATGCTGGTTATGTCTCTAATTTATTTTCTCACTGTCAGAATACATTTATTTACTGTGTAACATTTGTGGTGTTACAGTAAAACAAAAGATAGAGTTCTACCCTAAGATGGTTCAAGTATAAGTTATTATCTGTTACTAATTTCTTGAACCATATATTTGGGAGTTGGCATAGCCCTGGAGTCCTATGAAAAGACACAGCTAATAAGGAGATGTCAGTAGATCCTGTGGGAAAGACCTTGCATGCTCTGAAGGATCTTTTCCTTTTAAATCCAAAACTCTGGCAAAATTTTCAATTTAACACTATGCACAAAATTTCCACTGTCGTCTTTTCCCTGTGTTCCCCAAAATCTTTTACTGAAGGATCTGTAATTCCCCTAAGAGTAAATATTGAAAGTGTATAGCCATAAGGGAAATCTTTATTCTTCCCATTCCACAGATAGAAGCTGGTCCATCAGTAAGACAAGTTTTGGGAAATGATACTGTATCTGTATTAAACAAACCTGTGTGAATAGATTAAGCACAATGGCAGTTTGAAAAAAGATGAATGCTGATAGCTGGAAATGAATTCTGGAACAAAATATTTCTTATATGATTGTGATCCCCTGAAAGAATATAATAATAATAATAATAATAATAATAATAATAATAATAATAATAATAATAATAATAATAATAATAATAATAATAATAATAATAATAATAATAATAATAATAATAATAATAATAATAATAATAATAAAAAAGTTGGAAGGGACCTTGCAGGTCATCTAGTCCAACCGCCTGCTCAGGCAGGAAACCCTATACCATTTCGGACAAATGGCTGTCCAGTCTCTTCTTAAGAACTTCCAGTTCTTAAGCATTCACAACTTAAGCATTCACAGTTCTTGGAGCATTCACAACTTCTGGAGGCAGGTTATTCCACTGGTTAATTGTTCTAACNTGCAAGTCCACCACATATGAAAAAAAGTTGCATCTTGTTGTCCACACCTCCAGCACTTGGATTCATAATTCTCATAAATGCGAGACATAGTTGCAGGATCCATGTGCCATCTATAAAACATTTTATAAAAATTCTCACGTAAATTTTGAGCTTGCGTGAATTTCACATTTCTCACCCATATCAACTCCCAGGTATCCATTGAAGAATATTGATATGAGTATTATGTTTGAAAATATCTTTTGGCTTCTAGGCACATATTGTACCTCCTAAGGAAACAAAACTTGTCCATCTCTGAATCTCTACATAAAAATGAGAAGTGATTTACCAGAGCTCTGGAAAGGAATTGTATTTATTTACAGTATTTAAAATTATCATGCTCAAATATGAAAAATGAGCATTGATTTCTCAGTTTGTTGGTTTAGCTGAAATATTTACATGCTGGTTATGTCTCTAATTTATTTTCTAATTTATTTTCTCACTGTCAGAATACATTTATTTACTGTGTAACATTTGTGGTGTTACAGTAAAACAAAAGATAGAGTTCTACCCTAAGATGGTTCAAGTATAAGTTATTATCTGTTACTAATTTCTTGAACCATATATTTGGGAGTTGGCATAGCCCTGGAGTCCTATGAAAAGACACAGCTAATAAGGAGATGTCAGTAGATCCTGTGGGAAAGACCTTGCATGCTCTGAAGGATCTTTTCCTTTTAAATCCAAAACTCTGGCAAAATTTTCAATTTAACACTATGCACAAAATTTCCACTGTCGTCTTTTCCCTGTGTTCCCCAAAATCTTTTACTGAAGGGTCTGTAATTCCCCTAAGAGTAAATATTGAAAGTGTATAGCCATAAGGGAAATCTTTATTCTTCCCATTCCACAGATAGAAGCTGGTCCATCAGTAAGACAAGTTTTGGGAAATGATACTGTATCTGTATTAAACAAACCTGTGTGAATAGATTAAGCACAATGGCAGTTTGAAAAAAGATGAATGCTGATAGCTGGAAATGAATTCTGGAACAAAATATTTCTTATATGATTGTGATCCCCTGAAAGAATATAATAATAATAATAATAATAATAATAATAATAATAATAATAATAATAATAATAATAATAATAATAATAATAATAATAATAATAATAATAAAGTTGGAAGGGACCTTGCAGGTCATCTAGTCCAACCGCCTGCTCAGGCAGGAAACCCTATACCATTTCGGACAAATGGCTGTCCAGTCTCTTCTTAAGAACTTCCAGTTCTTAAGCATTCACAACTTAAGCATTCACAGTTCTTGGAGCATTCACAACTTCTGGAGGCAGGTTATTCCACTGGTTAATTGTTCTAAC